AAATGTCAGTCATATCCAGATTTCTTATAGTAAGGGGTTCCAACATCATGGACTACCTGCAATGAAACTGCTCTACCCTGGCCCCAGAGAAGTATCCCTGAAGGTCCACATATTCCTATCCAGTAGATAAATTGCCTTCGTGTAAGGGCTTTGAAAAGGAGGATCAGGCACTTGAACTGAGCCCATAATAGAACAGGGAGCCAGCAGAGTGTAAGAGGTATGTGTATATAATACATCAGCTCAGTGTATGTGATGTCTCTGGTGACTAGTGCCATACAGTCTACTACTGTCTCCTGGGTAAAAGTTCTCCTTTAGCTCAAGTGGTGCTTTTGACACTGAAGGTCTATGGTTCAAACCTCACTGACAACTATTGTATCTGTACAAACGGGCAGTTGTGTTTTGTTACAAGAACTCTTCAAAATAACAAAAAGCTTGGATCCAGAGGTAAAAATAAGCCGGTGTGCTGTACCAGGGCGGATAGGCTTCCCCTGGCGGCAATTTAAAGGGCCTAGTTTTTAGTCCTTGCCAGTGCAGCTACTGGAAAATTCTGTCAACATGTCCGGTTTTTCATGATTAGTTTGCCCTAGGCGCTTTAGTTTTTAGTCCTTGCCAGTGCAGCTACTGGAAAATTCTGTCAATATGTCCGGGGATAGAGCAAAAATCCTCCTGGGACATCTCCACGAAGCTCTCCTGGAGGTATTGTGAAAGGCTTTGCATCAGGTTCCTGGGGAGAGCGGCCTTATTGCGTCCTCCATGGTAGGAAACTTTTCCGCGCCAGGCTAGCAGCAAGTACTCCGGGATCATTGCCTCGCAAAGCATGGTGGCATACGGCCCTGGTGTTTGCTGGCATTCACGCAGCATGCGCTCTTTCTCTATCTCCGAAATCCTCATCGGAGTGATATCACTCATGGTGACCTGCTTTGAATTAGGGGAATGTTAGTATTGGCACTGATTGCCTGTTCCTTTACATAACTGTAACCGGCGGTTTACAGCCACACGGTGGAAGCGGGACAGGGGCAGCATGCAGGGTTCTTTCCCGGGGACAGCCACGAGGGGGGTGGGACAGGGGCAGAGTTCATGCTGACCAGATTGCCGGCAGCAGGAACTGGCCAATGCTAGGAGCATTGCTTGGAACGTGAAAGGAGGGCACTGCTATAAATTAAGCTTTAAGCAGCCAAAAGTCTACGGCTTACCATGTCCGCCTGCTAGCCGAATTCTGTTGTCTGGCCCCGCTTGTGTGATCTGTAATGCAAGACCTCAGGCGCTCAATGGGAAGGCCAAAAATTCGACCTTGTACTGAGTGCGCATGTGATAGATGCTGTGCATGGTCTTGTTCACAGAGAAAGACTATATTCATTGTTCGCAAAACTGTATCTTTGTGAGGAATTCACTCCCTTTTTCCCATCCCACAGCTGCGAGCGTCTCCCGAGCTACCCCGGCATCCCCCTCCCAGAGGCTGGCGCAGATCAGGCGACGAAAGAGAAGGACACGGGATGAGATGTTCTCAGAACTTATGGGCTGCTCCTGAGCTGAGGCGGCCCAGCAGACCCAGTGGAGGGAGAACATGTCACAATACCAGCGATCACACAGCGAACGGGAGGACAGGTGGTGGCAGGAAAACCAGCAGGCGACTCAAACACTGCTTGGACTAATGAGGGAGCAAACGGACACGCTCCGGCGCCTTGTAGATATTCTGCAGGACCGGAGGCAGGAGGACAGAGCCCTGCTGCATTCTATCTCTAACCGCCCCCCCCCACCCAAAGTCCCAAAAAGGAGGGGCGGCAGGGGCCGTGAAAACAGTCACTCCACCCCTGCAGACTGCTCAAGTAGCAGAAGGCTCTCATTCCCAAAGATTTGATAAGTCCTTTCCTTCCCGCTTCACCCAAGCCCCCATCCCAGTTTCATCCCCTAACATTGTAGTTGTTAATAAAAAATATGTTTCTGTTAATTACTGTTTCCGTCATGTTCTTTTAGAGGAGAGTGTGTTTGAAGGGGGGGGGGAAGGGGGTTGGTAAGGACAGTCACCTTTACCAGGGTACAGACACAGGGGCAGGTTCAGTAGAAGGTCACACACACATTGCAGTCACTAGGCACCCTGGTCAGTCTGGGAGGTGGTTTTCATGTTCTGTGTGGGGGGACTATGTGAGTTTGTGGCGGGGGAGGGCGGTTACAGATCTTATGCAGCGGTCCTTAGCCTGGATGACAGAGCCACGCAGCAGGGGATCTGTAACCGCCCTCCCCCGCCACAAAGTCACATAGCCCCCACACACAGAGTCCCGAAAAGGAGGGGTGGCAGGCTCCATTGAAACAACCAGTCCACCACTGCGGACCGCTCTAGGAGCAGGAGCCTGTCATTCCTCGAGTTTAGAAGCGTCCTTTCCATTACTACACGTGCTCCCCACCACAGTCTGCGTCCCAGTTTCAACACTTTACCACAAAATCCTTAAGAAAGAAAACAGTGTTAATGAACAACGTTTCATTTATTTTATTTTTAAAGGTGTGTTGGAAGGGGGGAAAGGGGTTGGTAACTGGAGAGGATAGTCAACATTAACTGGGTAAAGAAATGGGGGCAGGTTCAGCTTCTGTTTAAACAAACTTAATAGTCACAGGTTACCCTGCTCACTCTGGAACCTTGCTTTCAAAGCTTCCCGGATGCACAGCGCGTCCCGCTGGGCTCTTCTAATTGCCCGGCTGTCTGGCTGGGCGTAATCAGCAGCCAGGCGATTTGCCTCAACCTCCCACCCCGCCATAAATGTCTGCCCCTTGCTCTCACAGAGATTGTGGAGCACACAGCAAGCTGCAATAACAATGGGGATATTGGTTTCGCTGAGATCAGAATGAGTCAGTAAGCTTCTCCATCTCCCCTTCAGACACCAAAAGCACACTCCACCACCATTCTGCACTTGCTCAGTCGGTAGTTGAAGAGTTCTTTTTCACTGTCCAGGGCTCCTGTATAGGGCTTCATGAGCCAGGGCATTAGCGGGTAGGTTGGGTCCCCGAGGATCACTATAGGCATCGCCACATCCCCAACAGTTATTTTGTGGTCCAGGAAGTAAATACCTTCCTGCAGCCGTCTAAACAGACCAGAGTTCCTGAAAACGCGAGCGTCATGAACCTTGCCCGGCCATCCGACGTTGATGTTGGTAAAACATCCCCTATGGTCCACCAGTGCTTGTAGCACCATCGAAAAGTAGCCCTTTCGGTTAATGTACTGGCTGGCCTGGTGGTCTGGTCCCAGGATAGGGATGTGAGTTCCATCTATAGCCCCACCGCAGTTTGGGAATCCCATCACAGCGAAGCCATCTATGATCACCTGCACGTTTCCCAGGGTCACTACCTTTGAGAGCAGTAGCTCAACGATTGTGTTGGCTACTTGCATCACAGCAACCCCCACGGTAGATTTGCCCACTCCAAATTGGTTCGTGACTGACCGGTAGCTGTTTGGCGTTGCAAGCTTCCAGAGGGTTATGGCCACTCGCTTCTGGACAGTCAGGGCTGCTCGCATCCGGGTGTCCTTGCGCTTCAGGACAGGGGACAGCAACTCACAAAGTTCCAGGAAAGTTCCCTTACGCATCCGAAAGTTTCGCAGCCACTGTTATTCATCCCAGACCTGCAGCACTATGCGGTCCCACCAGTCTGTGCTTGTTTCCCGGGCCCAGAATCACCGTTCCACAGCATCAACATGACCCATTGCCACCATGATGTCCACGGCGCAGGGTCCTGTGCTTTGTGAGAGGTCTGTGCCCCTCTCAGACTTAATGTCCTCACCGCGCTGCCGTAGCCTCCTCGCCCAATTTCTCAGCATCTGCCTCTGAAAAAGGTGGATGATAAGGTGCGAGGTGTTGACAACAGCCATAACTACAGCGATGATCACAGCGGGATCCATGCTTGCAGTGCTGTGGCGTCCGCACTGTCAATCACCAGAAAAGTGCGCAAACTGATTGCCCGCCGGCGCTTTCACGGAGGGACGGCGGGAGTGAGGGTTGAATGACGACAGTTACCCAAAACCACCCTCGACACATTTTTTGCCCCAGCAGGCATTGGGGGCTCGACCCAGAATTCCAGTGGGCAGCGGGGACTGCGGGAACTGTGGGATAGCTGCCCACAGTGCACCGCTTCCAATGTCGACGCTTGCCCCGTTAGTGTGGACTCACAAAGTCGAATTACTGTCCTTAGTGTGGATACACACGTTCGACTTTGTAATATCAGTTCCACAAATTCGCTTTAAGTAAAATCGAACTACTCTCATAGTGTAGACATATCCTAAGGCTAAATACACTGCAGAGCTTGCAGCTGCACCACTGTAGCACTGCTAGTGCAGACGCTCTAAGCCGATGGGAGAGAACTCTCCCGTGGACTTAATTACTCTGCAAGCTGTAGAGGCTATGTCGGCGGGAGAAACTCACACTCACATAGCCCTGTCCACACCAGCACTTAGGTCGGTGTAATTTAGACCTATCTTCACTGCCCTTAGCAAAAGACTATTAATTCAAGTTGTTCCCTCTATCACAAAATCTATCTGGGTCTCATAAAAAAACACAATGTAAATGTAATCCATCTGCATTAAAATGTTTTGAAATAAACAGATTTGGAGGACTCTTAAGAAGCTTCATTGAACAGGGTATTGCAAAGCTAAACGAGAAAATCAAATAGGAATAATAGAAAGCTATAAAATCATTGTGATGTCGAAAATGTATTTTGGAGTTTGGTTGCTGTAAATAGCTCATGTTAAACTAGACTGTAATGTTACAATCTACCCTGAGTAAGAAGAGGAGCACTGTCGTGCACCTGAGCAGGGCCAACCATGGAGCAAGAGAATATCTTGCTTACTCCTCTTTGCAGCTAAATAAAGGCTGTGATGATCTAGCCCTTTGATCTTATTGTACACTAAATACATTGCACAGGAGAGAGAGCAAGTTTTTTAAATCACCTAATGTTTTCTGAATGCTCCTTATTCATTGTGTATGTTAAATATTAAAAAAAATCAATAAAATACCTACCTTATTTTGACAGATCTGGTGGACTGATCTAGAATGAGCATCTGGTATCACTGCTGCACTGCAGCCTGCATTGAGGTCAAAAACTTCTAAAGTTCGGTTGCTACCAGCTGCAAGTATAATATCTGTAACCTCTGTGAGTTAAAGTTCAAACAACATAAACAGATCTAATGGAGACAAGAGCAAAAAAAATACCGATGTTTTAATAACATCTAGTTTTATAAATTACTTGATTCATAAATATTTACTAAATTTCCATAAGCAGAATACCCGTACCGATCAAAAATAGGCACAAATATATACATACTTCAATTGAAACAAACTCCTTAACTATTTCAACAGCCAGATTCTTACTAGCAAATAGGCCAAAGTATGTCAGCAGCCTGCAAGAAAATTGATTTTTTTAAATACAATACTACATGTGTGTGGAATAGGATTATTCACTTTTGGCTTTGCCAAGCATAAAATGGTCATCCCAAATTCTTGCTAATAGAATCTATAGAATACATCACTATATAGGCATATATAATAGCAGCATTTATATAGTATTTTGGGGGAGGGGAAGTTGCCTCCAAACATTTTAAAAACATCGAATTAATTCTCACAACAGCCCAGTGAGGTAGCAAAGTACTATTACTGCCATTTTACAGATGGGAAAGCTGAAGCAGAGTCGTGAAGTGATTTAAGCAAGGTCAGTGTCAGAAAACAGATTATAAGTAAAATATTCCCGAGTCCACATACATTAAGGGTAATTAACCAGTGAATAATTTACCAAGGGTCATGGTGGATTATCAATCACTGACAATTTTTGAATCAAGATTGGATATTTTTCTAAAAGATCTGGTCCAAGAATTATTTTGGGGAAGGTCTATGGCTTGTGTTATACAGGAGGTCAGATTAGATGCTCATAGAGGTCCCTTGTGGCCTTGGAATCTGACATTTTTAATGCAACAATTCTTTCATAAAAATATAAAATAATTTTACTCTAAGTATTATTGATTTATTTGGTGGTCATACCTAGGGATTCCAGTCATGGAGCAGGACCTCACTGTGCTAGTTGTTATATACAAACATATAATATTATAAAACAGTCCTGCCTCAAAGAATTTACAATCTAAATACAGGAATCTGCTAGGCTGGAGTCCAACAAGACTACTATGAAAAATTACATTAGTATTATAATTGTAGAAAAAGATACTAGCTATACAGTTCATGCCAACTTTTTAACTTGAATATTTCCATGCCATTCAGCCTAAAATACTGTACAGAAACAATAATCATCCAGGACCCAGGATACAAGAGTAGAAATCATTTATTGCTGAAAGGCTGGTAATCTCCACAGTAGAAGCCATGGGGAATTTCTGTACTGATTTGCAAATGCTCTTCTGTTTATATCTGCAAAAGATATGAGATTAATGTACTATTTAGCAAAAAGAGTCATAATTTATGACCAAAAGTAAACTTCTAGTGAAACAGCTGGAAGCCAAGATCCCCTTTTTATTACCAGAGAAAGCCACAGTAATATAAAGGTTCAGCTAAAAAACAATTTAGTTGGAAGACTCATAGTAGGAAAAAACATGTATACAGGTAACGTAGGCATGAGTACTTTTTGCTCTAATGTACTGATGTTCAACTTTCCACCTACTTAAAATCAAAATAATTCAGCCTTCATCCAGAAGGTGTTAAGAGTAAATCTTCCAGTTATAATGATTATGCAAGTAGAAATATCAATAGGTATGGTGCTGTATTTCATGTGCTGCGTATGAGGGAGAAGAGAAAATGGATGAGAAAACAAACAAACCCTACCTTGTTTGACCCCCAGCATGGTACTAGAGATCTATTCTGAAAGGTTTTTAAAAAAAATTGTTTGAGGTCTCATAATGTATCCAAATGCAGACTGGTCAGGAAAGATTTCAAGTTTTAGCAACAGGCACTCTGTTTGCTCTGCTATGGTTCAGGTTAAAAACTGCTCACTGGTGAATTCAGTACTCCATGAGACAGAGTGGTAAACATGGAGCAAACAAATCCCATGAGCTGAGTCTGGAGAAACAGGCACAGATATCTTCCCTCCCCAATATGCATGAACAATAGATAAAGGACCTGTTCCAAATCCCACTGAAGTCAATGGAAGTCTTTCCATTAACTCCAATGAGAACTGGATCAGGCTCGACCAGTAGAATACTCTTTCCCCAACAACTGGAAGGGAAAGCAACAAAAGTTAATTGAAAAAAAAAAAAAGAAGAATCCATCCCAAATGAGAGGCCCTAGCACATTCAAGAGGCACTGTGGTCACACAGAGGAACCGTATATAATTTTTTTCCTCTCCACTTTCAGGGACAGAATGCTAGCTTTGCTCCGGAAAGAATGGCTGTGATGGTGTATAAGATTTTGTGGAGAGTTAGTCAGAGCACTGATTGGAGGGATGAGGAGGTTGGAGTGCAATTGTGAGGAGTAGAGGAAAGGAAACCTTTTAGTGCTTGACTGCAGATGGAAAGGAAGATTATATAAAATGAGGGATATGACTATGACAGAGGAGGTGACTTCAGAAAACTGACTGCAGTTAGCAGATAGAAAGGATCCACAGGAGCTTAGTATTCCTTGCATAAAGTAAGGGGTATTCTGGACGCGATACATATTTCATTTGGAACAAAATGTTTTGTGTTTTTATTTAAAATTTTATTTACCTGATAATCCTAGAGCAGGATAAGAATTCATTAAAAGGAAAGAAAAAATATTTCTGTTTCGGCATCACAACTGAGCAGAGGAAATTAAAACTAAGTCCAACAGTAAGAACCTCACCACCACTCTGCCCACTTTGTGTTGGGTCAAACAGTCACAGAGGTGTAAAGGGGCCCGAAAAGCCCTGGTTGAAGTTTGGGGAGGATACACCTGTTGGAGGCACTGTGGAAGACAGCCAAAAGGCTGCCTTCCAAGGACTTCATCACAAGCACACAATGATGAAGCCTTTAAGGCAACCTGGGATGCTGTCATAATTTAAATTGACCTCCCCCAGGACTGTCTAAATTATGCCACCATGGTCCTCTCCAGCCCCCAGAGCAGCCCAGGATTAGGATGATGCAAACATGGCTTAAAGCTTACTGCCACCACATACCCCAGCCTCTTAGGATATGTCTAGACTATAAACATAAATTGACCTATATTAGGTTGACTTAGGCATGTCCACACTACCCTCCTTGGGTCGGTGGTGCGCATCCTCACCAGGAGCATTTCCACTAACCTAAGAGGGGCAGTGTGGGGAATTGAGAACCAAGTCTCTCAGCTCCTCTGGCAGCTTCCTGCCAGAAGCCTTGCTACCCCACCGGCTCCCGGCAGGCTGCCCTCCCCCTCCACTTCCTGTTCCTTGCTGGGAGAAGGGTCCAGCTGCCCAGACTTCTCACCCTGACTCCCAGCTGGGAGCAGGGTCCATTCTTGTCTGGGCCCCCAGCCGAGAGTCAGGTCCAGCTGCCCGGGCTTCTTGCCCCAGCTCCCAGCAGGGTCCATTCTCACCCTGGCTCCCAACCAGGAGTGGGGTCCAGCCACCCAGCTCTCCAGGGGAGTCGGAGACAGCTGGGCTTTAGATGTCCAGCTTGCTTATCAATTTCACGGCTCCTGCCAACAGCCAATGTAAGGAATGCAGTGTCTACACAGACACTGTACACCACTACCTCGATATAACGCGACCCAATATAACACGAATTCGGATATAATGCGGTAAAGCAGTGCTCCGGGGGGGGCGGGGCTGCACACTCCGGTGGATCAAAGCAAGTTCAATATAACGCGGTTTCACCTATAACACGGTAAGATTTTTTGGCTCCCGAGGACAGCGTTACATCGAGGTAGAGGTGTATCATCCTAACTACACCAACATAAGCCTTATACCTCTCATGGAGGTGGATTTATGCAGTGCAGTAGGGCTCTTACATCGGGGGGGAGGAAGGCTGTAATGTAGACACTAACATAATTAGGTCAACATAAGATGCCTTATGTCAACCTGTGTAGTGTAGACCAGTGGCTCTCAACCTTTCCAGACTACTGTACCCCTTTCAAGAGTCTCATTTGTCTTGCATACCCCCAGTCTCACCTCACTTAAACTACTTGCTGACAAAATCAGAAATAAAAACACAAAAGTGTCACAGCACGCTATTACTGAAAAATGTTTTACTTTCTCATTTTTACCATATAATTATAAATCAATTGGAATATAAATATTGTACTTGCATTTCAGTGTATATTTGAGCAGTATATTTCAGTTTTTAGACCAAAATGTTTGATTACATAATAATTCGTTTTACAACCGCCTCTCTGCTTCACACTTTATTTTGGAGATGCTCATGAACACATCATCACACACTATCTGTGGTTAGGTGGCAGCCATATTCAAACTAGCCCAGTCAATAACACAATGTTTTATATTTTTAAAGGATTACACACACACACACACACACACACACACACACACACACAGTTGGATGTAAACTGAACTCCTTATCTTGTGAAGAGTTTACTGAGGTGTAAAACGGCAAATCTCTGAGTCTGTGTGCATCACATTATAGTTTGACCTATCACTTACATTCAGATATTTCACAACCAAGTCTAACTGAATCTCACAGTCCTGGTTTGTTAGGTCTCACCCTCAAACACCTTGGAGAGGGTGGCAGGCCTGTGCTCCACACACTCATTTCCCTTCAGTGAAAAAGGCACTAGAATTCACACCCCCAAAGGCACTCGTGGAGCTCTCTTCTTCCCTAGATCTCTTAGCATGTGACTGGGTCTAGCACTGCTTTGATTAAAACCCTGCCATCAATTCTTGGGGGCCATGTGGTTTACATCATTAGACCCAGCAACCACGGAGTTTTGCTATTCACTTTTGAATACAACTGTAGGCCCTCTCCATTTTCTGCAGACGTGCAACTCTCAATATTTTTTATCGGGTACAGGCCTCCTGGTGATATAATCTGAAATGTCATCAAACGAACATGCAGAGACTTCTCTTGCGTGTTCCATTAACTCAAGAGAGACTTTCCTTTCAGTATCTTCTGTTTCATTACCTACATGACTAGTAACAGAGCCCTGCGCTAGAGGGATGTATTCTTAGCTATATCTCTGCATATTCAATTTAGTGACTTGCTTGGCCCTTCTAGTTTTAAATCCTTTCTGTTTGATGCCACATTATCTACTAGCATGGATGACTGCTTAGATTTTTAACAACTTTCAAACACTTCCAGTTTTAGTTCCAGGGAGTCTCTTGCCAATCCAATCAATGGCAATCCATAGTAAACAAATTCACTTGGGGAAATAAGAAATCCAGGGTTAAGCAATCAACTTTACAAAGGCCATGACAAAAGGGAGGATTGGATTTACTAATATTAAGCACTATTACCGAGCTAGTCAGAAATCGGATTTACTGGATAACAACAAACCCTAATAAGCACTGGGTAGAGAGCTAGAACAAGTTTATTTTTGTGCAGTAAAACTCCACGTGATCCCCTGGGTATCCTGTTGAACATAAACTCTTCTGAAGTACCTGAACTCAACATTTTGCTATTTATCAGCATTTTAAGGACTTTTCTTAGCTTGAAACACTTAGCATGGAATTCTGCCTATCCATGTACAGCATGTGCTGGTACAGCTTGTTTGCAGTGTTGTTGTAATCATGTTGGTCCCAGAACGAGAGAGATAAGGTGGGTGAGATAGTATCTTTTATTGGATGAACTTCTGTTAAGTCTGTGAAGCTCAAAAGCTTGTCTCTTCCACCAACAGAAGTTGGTCCAGTAAAAGATATTACTTCACCCACTTTCTCTCTAATACAGCTTGACATTCTAAAATGTCAGAGAACATGTTCCATAGTTTGTTCACTTATTAGGTACATACTGTTACTATGAGTAAGTGCTAAAATAAATGATATACATATTAATAGTTCAGTCATTTGAATAGTGTTTTTATCTCATTTTGAATTCCTTACATACTGTTGATTCCCTTCTTTAAAAGGTATGTCAGGCTGACTGCAAAATTGAAAAAAAAAAAGAAAAAAAATTTGTCTGCTTCACATTCTTTAAATGGACTGAATGCATGTAAGGATGTGAAGCATCACAATCTGAAAACAAATTAAAATTAATGGCAGATAGTGAATTTTCACTGCTTTTACCAGCAGTTATGTATGCTGACACGAGGAAATTTAACTAAATGGTAACATCAGAGTGTGTAAAGGAAGTTGTCGATAAAAAAGGATGATTTTGCATTTAATCATAGATGCAGTAGTCAGGCCATCTGGATTCTACTTCTACGATTGCAACAAACCTCTTGTGTGACATTTGCAAAGAAGGCTCTCTCTGACTCACTTCTGTCATTTAAAAAATACTTACCCACTTCACAGGGACACTGTGATGTTTATTCTTTAACGCTTACAGAACTCTTTGACACTCTTGTTTGGAAGGCCCCACAGAATGGGAAAAGTATTAAGATTGTTATTACTATTTATTATTGTATTGTCTTTACCTCTAAAAAATGAGAGAATCCATTGGCCATCCAGATTGCATTACCCTGCTCTTCTAATTAAAGGATTAAAGCATTCTTTATGGTTCCTTCTAAACTTCTTGAATCTGTTCCAACAAGCATTTTTCCAAACTCAGAGCATGGAATGAGAGTTGTGAGAAACAAAAGAAGTGACACTGTGCTTTATAAAAGTAAAAATGCCATAAAATGGACTGGACGGAAGCCATAAAGAAAATGTCAAAGCAAATTTAACTTTTTTAAAATACCTTCTTTTTTTTTTGGTAATAAACAACAACTTGCCCTTATAATAATTTTAGTTTTTTTTAATAATGTCAACAATTTCAAGTTTGTCCTTTTTAGCACTACAAAAAATAACCCCAGGAAATTAATGGCATGGTGCTGGGAGTTGGCGTTGCTCTGTTAAGTGATACTAATTAAATGGATACCTGCAGCATCGAGAGGAAAATATTTGAACAAAAATAGAGATATCTAGATATCGTACAGTTATCCTACAACATAATTGCTTCGTAGCGTCTGAGTAAGTCCACAAAAATACTAAGAAAATCAATTCATTAAACAAGCTTAGAGTTATAAAATAAAGCTGTAGTCATTTGGATCTGAAACATCAGGATTGGAATTTCTATAGCATCTCATTTTAGGATAAAAAAATGGACTTACAAAGGTAGGTAAGGAGTATTACCCCCATTTTACAGAAAGGAAGACTAAGGCACAGAACATTTAAGTTACTTGTCTGAAGTCATACAATCCTAACAGAATTAGGAACAGAACTCAAGTTTCCTTATTCCCTGTTCTCCACTATAACCACTAGAAGACCATGCTGCAAGGTAAACATTGCAGAATGCAAGATGTTTATAGTGTGGGTTCTGAGATGTTGTGGAAAGCTGAGGAAAATACATTTACTTGCAAAGCTAAAAAATATTCTTTATTTCATTAAAGTTAATAGAAACCAATGTAAAACAGATAATAATTCTTGGCATTTTGTAGTCCTTGGTTCCTAAAACTGTGGAAAAAGGTGCAACTACACTTTCTGTTCAGACAGCTGGCAGCAAGTCTAAATTCATACAAATAAGGATCACAGCAATCTCCATCAAGGAGAGGGGATAGAGTTACTCTATATCATACTCTGGCCACTCCTAAAAATGATGGAAAGTAGGGAATCACAAATGCTCAGGAATTGAGTGCTTAATTCTAAGCAGACATCTATACTTTGTTCAAAGTAGGAATTAATCTCCGTTGTCAATCTACTGTTCAAAGTCAGACTAGATCATAATAATGGTCCCTTCCGACTTTAAGATATATGAATCTAAAGTCTATATTTTCAAAAACAGGTTTTTTAGACATAAACCTTTTTTAAAAAAATTAAAGGTAATTGTTTATTTTAGCTCTGTGTTTTGGTACTGTAGATTATAGTTTTAGAGTTCAAATGTGCATTTACTAGCCCTATGCCTCAATTCAGGAAAGTATTCCTGTTCAAGAGAGCACCTAAGCACATCTTAAGTCCCAGTGAAGATGATGGGATGGACTTAAGCACATGCTTACCATGAACTGGAGCCACAGGGCCAATGAAGTTATGACAGTTTCCCCAATTTAGGAGCTTACGTGCATACTATTAACTCACAGTAGTAAGCACTATATCCATACTCTTTTGCCCTTAATTCTTTCCTATCCCTGCCCCAAAATCTACAGTACCACTATAAAACAAAATAAATAATCTTAAAGCTTTTTTTTAAAGAGCAGTTTGCCTAAACATTTTTTTAAAGTTTAAAAAAATAGAAATGAAAAATAATAGAAAGGAAATTGCAGAATAGTGGTGACATAAAAACAAAGATCAAAGACGAATTTTTAGAATTATACGGATGCACAAAAGTATTGCTGTAAACTAGCAACAGTGAACGGAAAACATGTAGTAATGGGAGATTGGGAGGGTGTGAAGTTTCAGTTGTAAATTAAAAGATTAACAGGAAGTCAGTGGCATTTCTGTATAATTGGGTCAGTTCAAGTGAGAGAATGACCTGCAACAGTGGGGAGACTTGAGAAAAGGACTAAGAGAAGGCAAGAACTAGAAAAACAGGGTAATGGGGGAGGAGTAGGTGATATAGTAGAACAGGCCTACAGCAGAATGGAGGAAATCCATGCAGAAGTTTCAAGACTAAGAAAACAATATTTGAATTGTATGTGGTGACAGAAAGCCAGTGAAAGTGATTGAAGTGATATGGTTGCTTTCCTGCTCTGGCAAATGAAGTTTGGCTACCTCTGAAGTTCAGAAAATATTTAAGACCACCATAAAAAAGTTAGTTGCAATAACTGTAATGAGAAGTAATTAAGGCATGAATACATATTTCAGCAGAGGCAACAGAATGTAAGGAGCAGTTTCAGGAGTTTAACGACAATAGTAGTAGTAACCTTTGCCTCTGATAATACATTCTTGATGAAAAAACTTTTGGGACAGGATTCATTTTCATTCTGTGATGCCCGGACAAAGATATATGTAAGATTACTTTTGTTAAAATAATACAAAGCACCTATTGATAGAATACTTCCACTGTTCCATTAATGGAAATGTTTACCAACCGTTTTAGGTCATCCTTGCTCATGTCAAGATAGTAACTTAACAGATGAAATTCAGCTCCACAACACAGCAATATAAATGTATCTATGTAATAAAACTGTGCAAAGCGTATAGATTTATGGAACATCTCCTTGCCCTGAAATGCAAAGTGAATAATTATTAATAGAATCTATATAATATATACTATATAATTTTTTCCAGGAAATTTATAGCCCTAAGATATAACAGGTTAACTGAGTAAAGCCCTTTTCGTTGACAATACTTACTCATCCCAAGGTCTACTCTTTTTTTTTGTTTAAATTAGTTGGCACCAACATTAATAACATCTGTAGTCAGTTAAATCTAATATAATCTGGTTTAACATATTAAACTTCCATTTTTTAAAATCAGAATTCAGGGACAGACTGAAATTAAACATGGTATTACAGACTAGAGCCAATAAAAGTATGAAGAATTATATAGTGAATAAAGCCAAAACTTCCAGAAGTCTGGGTGCCTCAATTTTTGGTTATATAACTTGAGACATGCAAGGCCTGACTTGCAAAGGTGCTGTGTACCCATCATTCTCACTGGTGTCAGAGCTGTAAGTAATCAGCAACTCAAAGTCAGACAACATGCCAACTCTCGCAAATTTATCCCGAAAGACATGCTTTCCAAGTAAAATTAAGCCTCTCTCATGATCAGCTATGGCTGAAAAAAAAATCCTGACATTGTAGAGTTCTATCACTGAGATCATGAGTGAAGCTTAATTTTACTTAGAAATGAGTGACAGTCTGCCCCAGGAAGCTGCTCCCCTACCAGCCTGGGAAGTGGGAGAGGGGACCCCACTACAGCCACCCCAGGCCTGAGGAGGGTGAAGAACCCTAAGAGGAGCAGAAGTGAGGCTGAACAATGGCCTGGGAGCTGTATGGGGGCTGAAGTGAAGAGGATGGGGGCTCATGAGGTGGGGAGGCTGTACTGATGGTGGGTTCTGGGCAGATGGGGTGAGTGCTGGGATGGTGAACTGAGGTTGGTGGGGCAGTGGGCCTGAACTGATGGGGTGATGACGATGGAGGCCTACAAACTGAACTGAGAGGGGGCTGAACTGAGGAGGGTTGGATTAATTGCAGGGCAGGAGAGTGGCAGATGTGGGGGTGAGAGCTCTTGCAAACAGCGGCCAAAATCACCTTATCCAGTACATGTGGGAGAGTGGGCAACACTAATTGTCATATGCACACACTCTGGAGATGGGCAGGGGGGGTTCAAAAATCCAGAGACTGACCTAAAAAACCCAATACAGTCTTTTTTAAAAAAAATTGGCCAATCTGATGACTTTTGGTGGTCTGACTCATGATTTTTCATATGTTGAAGTTGGTAATACTGAGTCAAGCACTGTGTGTCCTAAGCTGGGCTCCCACAAAAGAGTTTTGGGTACTGATAATATGCAGAACAGGGCCTACTATGTGTCTAACTGACATGAGTTACTCATTACCAGAAATAGGGCAGGTTCTGTATTGCGGACTGACCAGATCCTTAATGTTCTGTCTTCTGATGCAGAAACTAACCACCTCTTGTCATGACTCCAGCCAACAGAGTTAATTGCACCATCATGACCTAACAAAAATAATAATGGAAATATCAGAAAATCTATTTCTCACATTCATCCGGAGATAACATATTGATTGGATATAATTATTCAGCATTTTAAAAATAGCTTTTAGATACAGGCTTCAAAGAGTTTGATTTAAATCAGTAAACATCAATCCTTGCTGATTTTTCTCTCCACCCAAAAACAGATGAAAAATGTCTTTCATTAATAATCCAAATTCACAATGTTAAAAAAGTATCCTATAAAATGTAACAATTTGATACTTTTCCAACTGGCACACATTTTGCTGCCAATGCTATCAGGGAATTAGTGAGAAAATAATATAAAATAATACATGTTTTATTCCTGATTTTATTACATAGTTGATTTTTAAATGGTCATTTTTATTTACTCAAAATTTGAAATAGTATCTGAATATTTTTAAATTCCTGCAATATCAACGTCAATTAACATTAAAGAAATACTTCTATGTAAAAATTACTGTCCATCAAAACTTATGAAAAATAAAAATGAAATCCTTTCAAGCCTCTATATACGTTAGCAACAATGGGGCATTTGGAGATCTTTACTTGTGAGATAATGATAAACTAAGCAGAGCGGAGTTTTCGCCTATGGCAAGACTTGGTTATTGTACCAGTTTGACGATTTATCTTTTAAAGATCTAAAGGCTTCTTTTGCATATAAAATACCATTAGGATTTTCAAAAAGCTCATAAAGGTAATTTGTCTTGGAACATAAAATACTTTCTGAAGTTTGATTCAATTTGGTCCATAAGATCAACAGCAGTTTTATTTGTCTCACTGAAAATCAGGTTTACAATTTTAGCTCTTGATATTAGGCACATTTGTAAAAAATCCTCTGGTCACATAAATATGGATGTGAAGGCAGGTCATATGAAGTAATTGTTTTGGTATGGCTGAATCAACACATTGTCATATTGTGCAAGGGTTGATTTAAAAAAAAAATAGATTTGCTTCAGACATTGGGTTTTCACTGTGATGTGTCTAAAAAGAAAAATGCAAATGAGAAACACTGAATTGCTTGTAAATATACTATTGCCAATATATAATTAATCTTGCATAATATGTTGCTAAAATAGAGACTGTACAGTTTGTTTGCTTAAAATCAACCCATTCAGATAGGTAATTTAGCAGCGGATCAGACTATTAGTCAAATTGTAGCACAAAACTTCCCCAGAAAATAGAACTGCAATGAACCTTTTTAATGTCAGGCTTCCAAAGTCAGAGAATGCTATTCTCTGATTAATCAGCCTCTATGACCACTTACCCTTAGGACTCATCCCCATCCCCAGCAAAAGGTTGAACACCACCAAACTTACAGTACTGAAACCAGAGTATAAGTAGTATGGTTGATTCCCTTTCCTGGTCCTTTGCAGTTCCACTAGGACCTGTAAGAGTTTTGCTGATGAAAGGTCTCAGCCTAAAAAGAACTCTAACTCTAGGAGGGTGATACTTCCATTGTCATTTACGGGCTTCAGGCTCTGAATCAGGCTCTCTTTTACAAAGTTATCCAAATAACGGAAAGCTTAGAAGCAAAGGGCCTCCATTTTCAAAATGTTGTGAACCTCATTGTTTGGATGCTTAATGTAAGGCGTTTGGAACCTGATTATCAGAGGTGCTGTGTGTCAAAAATTCCAGCTGAAGTCAATAGGGCTGTTAGGAGGACAGTTGAAAGGAGTAGGTCAAGAAGGCACGGTATCTGTGACCTGGAGGAGTGTGGCATTGGAAGGTGGTTGTAAAATGGTTTAGGCACCCTTGCATTTGCCTCAGCCATCTGAAGTGCTACCAGATACTTTGTCAGACAAGGTTTGATTCTACAGAACACAACCCCACCACCACCACCACCAAGATCAACAATTACAAAAGAACCTCCCTCTTAATTCACCTACAGATTATGATAGCCCTAAATCTAATTTTGTGAAGTCAATAGAAAGGAGACTTGAGTTTTACCTTCAAGGAAATTTCTTTACTAAAGTATATAGGCAATACTACATCAAAGAAAAGAACCATGAATAGTTATATGTATCATATTTTAATGGAATTTGACCTGAAGGCAAAATATCCATTTAAATACTATTAAATGGTTTCCAGATTCCAACTCTGAGAAGATGTAGGCCTTACAATGGTACAATTTTATATTTTTATTGCTAGCAATTTGTTATTATAACCACAAGGAAATAAGTGGCTTCCACTGTAGAGACAGTCCTACAGCAGCTGCTAACTATTAAGAAAATATTTCATAAAAGAGATAGTTATTGATTGCAGATCGTAGTTTACAATAGCTATAATCCCTCATCAACAAATAGTTTATGGAAGAAGCAGCCTTTTTAGTTTGGTTTGAGGCTGTTAAAATAAGAGTTAGCTACTATGAAGACAGCAGTTCAAAATTCAGGCACACTATACAGAAATCAATTAGTTAATTGATCATTTCTAATTTAGAATATATTTGTCCTGCTAATAATTGCATACAATTCAAAGAAAAATGTTACATAAAAGCCAATTATCATGTTTTGTTAATCTTATTTCCCTATAAGAAATTTGTTGAATTTCAGTTGACATTTAAAGTTCCTATGCTGCCCCCTCGTGCACATTTTTATAATTCAGTCAACTGCAGTTCTGCCTGGAACAGATCTTTATATTACTTTAATTACCCTGTGGTGTTGTACTGTTGCAGCATGTAACAAGAAAAAACTGTAGTTAAGGTTTTCAGTGATAAAGTGTATCAATATAAACTGGTTTATAAATTATAGTATTTAGATTGTAAACTTTTCAGGTCAGGGACTCAGAACATCTTTACCTGTCAACTGCCTAATATATCTTGAGTTTTGTTGTACTTTATTATTTGTATAATAATCAACACAATAATTAAGGTAGAGAAGACACTTCCATTTTATGTCCGTATCACAGTGCAATAACTTTCATACCCAAAACAATCATACCCCTTCATGTAAAATTTCAAAGCCAGTACTTATTCTCAGAACAAAGGAAGGGGTTTGTATTGTTTAGTTTTTAAAATTTTGTGAAGTTCTATTCAGATACTTGAGTTATCTGTGTAAAAAGTAAAAAATACAGTATACTACAACTCCCATTTTCCAAAAATGGCAGGGCACATGAGAAACCTTAGGAAAATCTGAGGGTTGGAAAACTGCAGGAGCTATCCAGGACACTTACATTTTCTGCAATCTAGGTCCCTGAACCCCAGAGCACAGTAAAGAAGAGGCCAACTGGCTTCAAAAGAGTCTTCACTCAGGGCTCCCCAATCCTAAGGCACATTGAATAGGATGATAGCTGGCTTTGTAGAGTGATTGGCTTCAAAAGAGCCATGCTACCTGTAACCCTTTTAAAGCTGACCAGCATACTCTTTGCCTCACTCTAAGAGCTGTGGCACCCAGAAGTAAATCTGAATAGGAATGTAGTCCTACTACAGGCGATAAAAACACGTTTAATTTAAACCAGGAGTTCCAGTTCCGGATTTTAGTATACAAGGGCTGTAATGCTCCTCCATGATGATGTAGTACAAAAAGGTGTTTTCGACCAGTCAAAAATATGTCCAGATGCTTTCTTGGCACTCAAATAACTTAACAGCTGCTGCTGCTTTAAAAAAAAAATTGAAGTTCAAACTTGCCATGAATTTGCATTCTCAATGAGAACTAGTGCCTTTGACAAGAAAATTAAGTTGTAAACATATTAATCTGCTGCTCCAAATAGCAGCACAGTTGTTAGAAAGTAAGTAGGAAATCAATACAGGATTTCCTGATATTCTGAGATGTGCAGAAGGGAAGGGGGAAAACAAACAAACAAACAAACCAAAACAAAACACAGATCTGGTGCTATACAGTTGAAATGTTTGATCTCATACTATTATTATTTATATTTCAGTAGCACATAGATGCTCTAAGCAGGGATCAGGCCCTATTTTACTAGAGGCTTTATAAACATATTTAAGAGATCATCCCAGTATAAAAGGCATTCACAGTCTAGATTAATGATAAAAAGCTGAAGTAAATAACACAGATAGGCATATGCCACAGGATAAACAATAACAAGCACATTTTTGTGTAGACTAACTATGTCCACAAGTGTAGTTTGCCATCTGCCTCGCTATTATCAAATAGCAATGTTCTCAATGCATCTTAAGAAAGGATTTAAAGATAGATACGATTTACAAATCTTTTCAGTGTGTATCATATATAAAGGCTGGAAAGGGATAAAGAGAAAAAAATATTTGTGGAAGAAGTAAACTGGCAGGTGCTGAAGGCTGAGAACACTGATGGGGCAAAGACAGCTGTAACAATACAATAAGGTAATAGACTAAATCATCTTAAAAGTGAGGACAAGAAACATCAGATACAAATGCCTTCTGTTAGAAACAACACCCCCCTCCTATCAAAGCTTATTTTTTAATGAAAACTCTGGCACAACTGTAATTATGGTGCTAGCACCATTCCACTATAAACAAACATATGCCTTTGAGAAGGCTTTTAAGTTAGCATGAAGAGGGATTATTCGGTGTACACTAGTTTAGAGGTTACATCTGCATTCTAGATTTAAAGAACAAATCTATTTGGTCTTTTGCTTTATAGACAATGCCTGTTTTTAAGAAAGAGGGGAGCATACTATAAAAAAATCTTATTCCACAGTTTTTAGCATAACTGCATATTATCTAATGTTTTATTGGAAAGGAAAAACCCTTTAACTTAAAAAAAAATCACAAAAACAGAAATATGTAAGTGAAAATTTAATGACTTTCTAACTGATTCACTACTACCTGACATCACTCTGGAGGGTAAATCTCTTGGCGTTGTCAATAGCTTTTGCTACTTGGGTTCTATGATCAGTAGGAATCTTGACCTTCAGACTGAAATGACTAACAGAATTGGAAAAGGAGCTAAGAATTTCAGGCTTTTACAGAAACACGCATGGAATAACTGCAAACTATCGACAAAGGTGAAGATGCAAATTTATGAGACTTGTGTGCTTTCATCTTTGCTTTATGGTTCAGAAATGTGGACTACATATGTTAGGCACATCAGGAGACTGAATAGCTTCCATATGAGATACCTGTGCAAGATCCTGAAAATAAAGTGGGAAGACAAAATACCAAACACAGAGATGCTAGAGCACACAGGACTGACACACTTACAGTAAACGACAGTAGAATCTCAGAGTTACAGACACCTCGGGAATGGAGGTTGTCCGTAACTCTGAAATGTCCATAACTCCAAACAAGACGTTATGGACTTCAGCCACTGGAGGCAGGGGGGAGAGGCTGCAGCCACAGAGAGAGAGGGGGTCAGGGCTTCTGACCCTCAGGAGCACCAGGGCTCAGGGCTTTAGAGCTGCGGGGAGTGCTGAGGCTCGGGGCTTCAGCCCCACCACTCCGTTCCCAGGACTCAGGGCACCCGATGGCTCCACTCCCGGTTTCAGCCAGGGGAGGCAGGCATGCCGGGACTCAGAGCTTTAGCTACAGGGGGAGTGCTGGGGCTGAAACTGGCACCCTCTGTAGGGAAGAAGCCAGGAACAAGGCTGCGGGGCTGAAGCCCTGAGTCCTGGCACTTCCCCCCCCCCCACAAGGCTGAAACCAGGAATGGAGCCGCAGGGCTGAAGCCAGTGACCAGTAAGTCCAGAACTCTGGTGTTCGTATCTTTGAGGTTCTATTGTACTAACAAGAGGAGGAGGTTGCAATGGCTTGGTCATGTCAGGCAAATGGGAGAAGACTGTATCCCCAAGAATATTTTGTACAGAGAGATTCGAGACAGCTCTAGAAAGCAGGACCGTCCTTTATGGCAGTACCAAAATGTGTGCAAAAGTGATATGAAGTTGTTCAACATCAATGTAGAAAGCTAGGAGGAGCATCCAGAATCCTGTCCAATCTGGAGGGAATATCTGGCACTGGGTGCAGCTCAACATGAAGCAGCTTTGATCCAGAGGACGGAAGCAAAGTGAGAAAGAAGAACGCAGTGTACTGTAATCTTGGACTCCAACTCAGACAAGACATGGATCTGTGAAATTTGTAACAAACAGTATCGCTCTAGAATAGGGCTTGTCAGCCATAAGCTGACTTATAAGGAACCTGGCTAGACCTTTTATGGATACACCATGATCCAGTGGATCAAGGGTTGCCTATAATAAATAGAATTTGGAGAATCTAGCAAAACACACACAAAAATTAGCAAAGCACTACAAAAGATTTTTCTCCTACTGATAATAGCCCACCTTAATTGATTCGTCTCGTTAGAGTTGGTATGGCAACCTCTATCTTTTCATGCTCTCTCTCTCTCTGTCTATGTATGTATCTTCCTACTGTATTTTCCACTCCATGCATCTGATGAAGTGGGTCTTAGCTCATGAAAGCTTATGCCCAAATAAATTTGTTAGTCTTGAAGGTGCCACAAATACTCTTCGTTCTTTTTGCTGATACAGACTAACACGGGTACCACTCTGAAACCTGTCATACATTTATATTGTTTATCTTCTCAGTGATCTGAGGAACTCTGGAAAAACACAAGCCAACTCAAGCCTGGAATAACGTTAACCAGACATACAAGTTTACTATATCCTCACTCAGAAGCAGTAGGATTTTTTTTTTTAATTCTTCATATAGTGACAAGAATGGAAACTTTTAATTAATTTAAAAGTTTATTTAACCTGAAAACGCATCACTCCATATAAACTATATTTACAAACAGTTTACCTGAAAAAACAGCCGGTGTTCCTGTCAGATTGGAATTGAATACCAGTAAAGATTTGTCAGCTAGGCCACAAGCTAACAGCTCTCCATCCCCTGTAAAAAGATTCCCTACAGGTTTATGGGTTGTGAGGAGTGTGTCTCCAATATCATAGGGTTTTTTTTAAATCATAAATATATCAGAAAGAGGGGAAAACATGTTACAGCACATAAAAATATATAATCAGCTTTCACCTAACTTGTTTACCATTTTCCCTTTCAATGGAAATCAGTTAAGATGCGGGGGGGGGGGAATATCACTCATTACATGGCAGAATGTCACATATTTAAACAAAAAATCCTAAACAAATATTACAGAAATATTTAGCAGTCACATTTATCTACTTCCTGATTTATAAAAATTATTATGTATCTATGTATAAATGTCACATCTCACTTTCAAGGGTACCAGAATAAAAAATAAACATTCTTATGAGAGCACCAAGACTCCTTTGTCAGTATTCTGATAACTTCTGAAGCAATGGGTACAAGCCCACCCAGCCATAGCTTTACAGCCTAATCCTGCAAATTTGACTAAGAAGTTCTGTGGCTCTTCTCATATGAGTAAAGTTATTCATGTGTACAAACGTTGGCAGGATCAAGCCTTTTAATGTTTTCCTGGATGTAGTGGGATGGGAAAACTGTTTAACCCAAATAATATTTCTGAAAGAGCAAAGATGGCTTGGGGCTTAAAATGCAGAATTTCACTGTAATTTAGTATAAAAAAAGTTTGGAAACCAGAAGCCAAAATAAATTAACGAACAAAAAAAGGAAAGAGACATTCCTAGCTTGGGGTCAAATCCATGCTATGATTCACCCACCCCACCAGCTATGAAATCTAATCTTCCCAAAGGCATTCTCCTGTTAAATAGCAAATTGTTTTGACTACGTATTCCTGGAGAAGGAATATCAACCAACCTTGCTAACAAGAGATAAATGGTGGGATTCAATCTGAATATAGATTCTGAATATTAATTAATTTGACAGTCTGAAGATCACTCCTTGAATGGCTTCTTTCATGTATTTGAATTAAATACTTTTTAGTTTCATAAGATTTAATTAAGATTATTTATGTCTACCGATTTATAAAATTATTTAAATTATCCATGACAGGATCCACCAACCCTTAAACAAAATTCCTTTGCCCATCTATAAATTGCTTTAGCTATCTCTGATACACCAAGACAGGACTCTCTGCTGATTTGGGGAATAATATACTTTGGTTTTATCTTACGAGAAGAGTGTCCAAACCAGAGTGGGCCCACTCAGGGTGTAATCTCTGTTGAAAGCTCTCCACAGAGACATAGAGAAGAAGAAATTGCAGCTGAAATAACCATTCTTTATAGCTTGTTTTCTGCTTTGTTCAGTCTTTTTGATGTTTATTTTCCTTTCTTTAATAAAGTAGCCATAGTTAATAATTGTGATTATTTTGCTTTTCTCTAATTGTGGTGTTCCCTCTTAGTCTAAATAGAGGGATACACATTCCTGAACTGTCAGTAAGAGATAAAATTATCAAGATCTGACTAACTATATCTTGTTTCTCTAGACTATACATTTTTAGTAATCTTTGTGATAATTACTTGGTGCTCAACACCTTAAAACACCCCTTTTTACCCCAAACAGATGTCCAGTGAAGGTATTCATTTTAAAGGGATCCAGTTCCTTGATACCTGGAATTGGAAATGAACTTAGAGGAAGGCATCTCCCTAAAGAAGCCGAGGATTTGAGTAGGACTCCTAATGTCTGGTAGAGTGAGGAGTCAACCTCCTTTCCCAACCCCTCAACCCTCATAGGAGGGAAGATCAGAGGTCCCAGCAAGAGGCTGGGACTGGGTGTGGAGGGCTGATGGCAACCCTCCGCCGGGTGCAGACAATTAAGGAAGGAAAAATGACCCAAACACTATACAAATTATTGCTAGACAGTTCCCAGATGAGTAAAGCTGATGCCTAAATAAACCACATCCCTTATTTTAATTCCTGGATGTCAGGGACAATAGTATCTCTCAGTGGTCATACATACCTGAATACTGAATACAGCAAACAGAAGTTGGTTTATTAGCTACTGATATCTGTCTCTCAGATTTAGTTGGAGGAGAATTTTCCAATAGATATTCTTTATTTTTTCTTTTAAAAAAAGAAAGTTAAGGAAAACATAGTTAAATGTCATAAGAACAGTACATTTTCACTTTACATGCTAAACATTTATATTACAGTTAGAGTACATTAAAAGTATAATTCATCCATACATCTTCCCTCTTTTTTTAGATTCCCAGACAAAACTTGTGGTAAGAAAAAGTTGAGTCAGAATAGATATCAGTAACTTAAGGGTAAAAAACATAACTGGGATGTTTTAATTACCACAATAACCAAGCATTGAAACCCAGTAAATTATGAGTTAATGTTAACTTACAAAAAATACTAAATATGAAGTTGTGCAAATACATGAAGCATGCAGACAACCTAAATTCTGCCCTGTAGTCACAACAAGCAATAACTGTACGACGATGATTGATGCATATTAATGCTTCTGGTTCCAAATTAAAACTATTTTAATTTTTTTTTCATATTTTCCCCTTATGGTGTCATTACAAGGCAGAGTTAAGGTTCTTTGTGTGCCTTAACTGTGTATTCCATACATTGACATGTTTGGATTTCTTTTAAAGTTAAGCTTAACTCTGAATTTCCTGGGTTTATAATGCTGGACTTTGGGGTAATTATAGTATTTTTTATGTTTCTTTCCCTTAAGATATTGATATTTATTCTCAGCCTTAACTCCATCATAACAGTTTTGTCTGGGAATTTTCTTGGTTTTTTTTTTAAATATTAAAATTTGTATATATTAACACTAAACAAGAATCTTAAAGAAAATGCTACCAAGCAAATACTTCTAATGATTTGAAGATACGCAATATCAACCCTAAATTAGATCATTTTATTTATTGTAACGTTTAGGGTCAGATTCACTGGTATGCTATGAGTGCTTCACACTCCTCTAGAGCAGCTAAAGCATACTGACCAGTTAAGCTAGGTTTACAGCTGTTTGCTGCAGCTCCTGTAATATTACTGCCTTAGTACACAGCGGAATCAAGGCGGCTGTGTCATGGGGATGGGAGCCTTTCAAGCACTAACCTCCAAGGTAGCATGGGGTCAGGGAATCTTTAAAAAACAATGACAACTGGACTAACTGACCTATCAAGGAGAGCTCTTTACATGCCATGATCTGAATCTCTCTCATACACTCACCACAACTAACACCACTGTGGAATGGAAATTGGCTATAAAGGAAGGGTTATGATTGTTTTTTACCTTTGCAGTCACAATGGTCCCAGTTAAGAGTGATATGAGCTGTTGACTTGCCCCTGTCTATGATCATAACAATTGGATGCACAGTAACTTAACTGAATTACAACCGGATCTTCTCAAATATAGCCTGTCCACAAAACTTCCATAATTTTAACTATATGGGAAGTTTGAATACTCTGGTATTCCATTACTGAGATCATTCAGAACACCTGATACTAAATTTCTTAAAGAACCCATTTTTAAATCTGTTTAACGCAAACTAATTAATGGATTTCCTTGTAAATGCTCAGAAAATCCATTCTGCATTCAAAAAACTATGTGATATAAGCAGGTGAAGATATGTTGAATTCGCCATACATAACTAGACATGGCAGCATGATTATTTAATATAATTTTGATGGATATTTATATTTTTTTTTAAAAAATCAATTTTTAATTTTAATGTTCATAATTACTGGAAATTATGGGGGGGGAATCAAACAATACTTATTTAATGACAGCAGATGCTGAAACGCAAAAAATTAAATCTTCATAACAGTAAAACACAAATTGTCAACATCACATGTCAAAATATACAAAGTAAATATCCTTAAATCAAACTCCAATATGTTCTCAAGCAGCACTTTACTTACTTTGCCTATGTGTGAATTTTAATGATCATCAATTTAAATATTTTTACTCAGTTTGTATTTATTAACATCTGCCAATAAAAATCTAATCCTTCAAAGCCTATACATAAACAGAGGGTGAATTCTTACTTTTAATGCAAAACTCAGCTCAGCCTTAGCTAAACCACAGAGCCACAATAAGCATCTGCAGAATACTGTTCCCTGCCAAAGGTCAGAAAAACCACTGAAATGACACTTTAGGCCCTGGTCCTGCAATGAGATGTAGACATGCAGACACTTGCACCTGCACAAAATCTCAGAGGCACCCCATGCAGATGCTGAAGTTCACCTGCATGCATCCCACTGAAGAATCGGACTCACATCAGAAAGGAAGGTTACAAGTATGGTATCTGTTTGCATCCATGTCAATACTTTACCAGTCATCTATGCAAAAGTTATCAGGAATTAGGACTCTCATAGGCATACCTTTACATTATTCTGCTTGCTAATTAAAAAATAACCACTAATTCTTTCAAGATGAACCAGTATTTTCCAGTTTACAGACAGTATGATGGATGTGCTGGTTACGTGTTATGATGGCAGCCTTGGTCAGCTAGCCTAATAATGAATTAATTCCAAGTTCAAGGCTTTTTTCAGATGCCCACACCAAAAAATAAAATCAGTTTGTTGTATTATTTCTTGCTGATAACAAAATTACTTAGGACAGTGCCTTAAAATATGGTTCTACTCTGAAAAGTGAAGATGTAAAAACAACACTTTCTTACTCAACATATATATATATATATATATATATACACACACACACACACACACACACACACACACACACACACACACACACACTCTCGTGT